CTGGACCGAACGTATCGATTATACCAAATGAATCGAATTTACCGAAAATTTATCAATAGTATCAAATCTACCGAATAAATCAACAAAAAAATCGTATCACAGACCTGCTTTGTCAAAATTTTGCATTAGCATTATTAAGATATTGTGATAAAATAGAACTTAGAAATACACAAGAGGCTTTACAAAATACACAGGCATGGAATTTTGGCGAAAATGAATCTGATTCTGATGAAAATTCTCTAGACTTGTATAATTATGATGATAATATGGCTACAATAGCTGAGTTAGCCGATGCCATAGACTGATCCCTAAATGATACAACAATATGTAAAACTATATTAACAAATCAAATTAAAAGATCAACAAGAGCAATCCGTCGTAGGTATGCTATCTTGCAACATGATCTGGAAAATGAACGATTAGACCGTGATATATTCAGGCTAGAGCATGATCAAGCGGTGCAGGAGCATGATCAGTTATGGACCAATGCTCAGAATCAAGTAAACAGAATGATAAATAATATAGCAAGAAAGCAAACCCGTATTGGTGAATTGCTGGGAGAAAAGCTAGCCCTTCAGCTAATATATCGAAGGTGCAAAGCTGAGGTTGACTTGACAGAATTCAATCGAGCCTAAGTATTTAATCGGTATCAAAAATGGAAGGCTCGGAAAATTAATTCTCGCCAGAATATTTTAATTTTAAATCAACAAATTTTGGCACTACAGAATAACCCACCAAATATACAACGAATAGGAATAGTTGGATATGGACCCCCAATATTTTATGGACATTCTGGAGAAGATCCAGAAGACTTCCTTAGAGATTTTTAGAGATACGTAGTAGCTAGTCGAATAAACGTAGCTCTCAGAGCGGGCCAGATGGCCAGAAGAGAAGAGGCTTTAGGTTTATTAATATCGTGTCTCGAAGGTGATGCTAAAAGATGGTATGAAACCCGAATTAATGATAAAAATTGGAAGTGTAATAATCTTTCAGATAATTTAGGTGTAGCTACTTTAACTGCTGTTCGTGGAATAGGCGCCGGGAATGGAGATAATCAAATTGGCAGTTTAAATACTGTGGAGGAATTTCATGATGCATGTGCTATAGAAATTGGCAGAATTGGAGCGGGAGCTGCAACTGGTGCTGATATTATTCTGAATGGAATATGGAATGAAGACTGGTCTATAGCTGGTGGTGAACCTACAAATAATGCAATAGTAGCCCCAAATACAGCTGGTGGCTTTTCTGCTGTTACAATTGCTCCCGGAATTAAACTTGGCCAGCTTATTTTCTTACTTAGAACCACCTATACGACCATTGAACACTTAAAACAAACAGCAGTTTTTGGTCAACTCATGCAAGGGGGTATAGGGGTCAAAGAGTTCTCTGCTAATATCAAAAAGATTAGTAAAATAGCTAGAATGTCTCCTGAGCAACAAAGAGAGCAATTTATTCGTGATTTAAATCCTATGAACCAGTATAATATTCGAATGATGGCTAAGTTTAATGATACGCAAGACAATATTATAGAAGTCTTAGCCGAAGCAGAAAGATTTACACTATCTCAAAAGAATACACCATCCTCTTTTCCAATTTTTCCGACAGCCAATCCTTATGCAGATGCTAACAAATCAGAAATGACTAAAACTGAAATCGTGGATTTGATAAAAACTACAATAGCTTCCTCACAACCTCAAATAGCTCAACAGAATGCCAATTTGCAGTCTACCATTAAATCCTTTCAAGAGACTATGTCTTGAGCAACTAAAACTCTAGATAATAGTAAAAAATCATCTAAGAAGAGAGCGGAAGATACTGCCATTAATCGCTTTTTGAGTGACTTACTAAGAAAAAATCCTGGTAAACACCCTGCCGATGAATATGATCATGATGCTATAGAAAATATTTCAGATAGTTTAGCAGGATTAACATTAAATAGTGTTATAAAAACTGCTGTTAAACGTGCTGTTAAGAAATCATCAGGTCACAAATGCTTCACCTGCGGAAGATCTGGACATAATTCTTGAAACTGCCCACGAAGGAAGAAAAAGAGAAGTAAGAAGTCTAAAAAGGATAAGATTAATATCGCTACCGTAGATTCGAATTCGGATTCAGGTACTTCTTCTGATACTTCTTCTAGTGATAGTTCTGACTCTGATACAAGTTCAGAGGATTTCTCTGATTCTGGAGGTGATATCACCGTTAACATAGCTAAGTCAAAAAAAAAGTGAAGCAGGTTTCTAGCTCCATGAAATCATCCCTTAAAAAGATGTCTAGCGCTAAACTGAGAGAAACTCCACTAGAGGAAACTATTCGTAAAATCCTCCAAAGCGAACTTAAATTAATTTTTCCTGCATATTTTTCCCAAGACTCTAGTTCTGTTGGCCCAAACAGATAGTTTCCATACAGGAGAAGATAAAATCTCAAAACGACACACCACCATCTTTCAAAGATTCAACTCCGGATGAATCCAGTTTAGAGAAGGAAGACTATTTGGATGGTTCTATGGAAATTGATTTCGTCAAGAAGAGGAAGCCACCCACGAGCATTGCAACTGTGAGATGTAAAATTAAGCGCTTAAAAATCTCTGCTATAACCCTTGATTCTGGAGCAGAGCCTCCTATCGTAACTGAAAATATTGTTGATCGCGTAAAGGCTAAAATTGATAAGTCTGAAACACATGATCTCAGTGGCATCGCTACCGTTCCAGTTGAATCTATTGGAGTGGTTTGTAATTTACCTATTACTCTAGCTCCTGGACTTACTATTCATGAAGATTTTGTTGTCGTGAGATATAACAAGCCAACCCTAATATTTTCTAACCAGCTTTTAAAGAAATATAATTGCGCCGTGGATTGGGGTAAAAACGAATTAAAGTTCCCTCATAATGGAAAGGATTATATCATTTCGGTCACTATGCATAAAGTCAAGAACAAGCTCGAGGTGAATTGTACGAATATTACTCCCGAATGTAATGATCTGCCAGCTTCAAACAAAGTTTCTCAAAATTCGCAAGACTCGCAAGACCTAACTGAGAATGAGACATTAAAAAAAAACATATGAATTATGAGAAGCTCGAAAAAAAGTTATATAATGCTCTTAAATCTAAAGAGGAGCTTAATGAATTGTGTGAGAAATTATTAGTATGCTATGATGAACTAAATAAAAAGGTTCTTTTGGAACCAAAACATCTTTTACATAGCTAGTATATATTTATTCATTTCTGCTTTATTTTTTTCATCTCAAATAGCTTCTTTTTCATAAAATGCATTCAGATCCTCTTTGCTAATATTCAAAATTTCTGAGCTTTCAGGCGTTAGCTGATTCTGGATAATAGATAGTTCAAAGATGCCAGCAGACTTAGACTTGGGTTTTTTTCCTCTAGTCTTTTTCGCTTTACTACCTAAAATAATGTTACTTTCTACGTAATGTGGTTAAAGCAAATCAGTATCTAATGATCCAGATCTGACCTGATCTGAATCTGAGAATTTTGGAATACTAAACATATCTTTAGGATCTGTTGGTGGATGAACTCCTCTCCATATTTGATATACACGTCGTGTT